TGAACATTAAAACACGATAGTGTTTTCCTCATTCCTTCTCATAGTTGCATGCCTAAGATATTATTGTTAGCATAGGAAATCCAGGAAATTAATAAGTGATTTTCCTTTTGTTCTATTACAGGCTGCTTTCCGAGGCTTCCAAGTGAGAAAGCAGTACCGTAAGATCATCTGGTCAGTTGGACTGCTTGAGAAAGCAATTTTGAGATGGCGTTTAAAGAGAAAAGGCTTTCGTGGGCTGCAAGTTGAACCTGTTGAAACAGATGTGGATCCGAAACATGAAAGTGATAAGGAGGAAGACTTCTACAAAATCAGCCAGAAACAGGCGGGTGAACGTGTTGAGAGATCTGTAATACGGGTTCAAGCAATGTTCCGTTCAAAGCAAGCACAAGAGCAATACCGGAGGATGAAATTAACCTATAACCAAGCAACTGTACGTGATTTACCTGGAAGTTGCTAGTCTTATAATTCTGTCTTGCTGATTAATTAATATTCTCTTGTGCTTCTTCAGGTTGAATATGAAGGGCTTCTTGACACGGACATGGTTGAAGGTGACTTATAGGCAATGGTAATCGGGCTTGTAAAATAATATGTGCCTGCATGTGAATATGTAGCAAAAGGAGGTTTATGCACTGTAGTAGCCTGCATATCTTGGTAAATTGTGTAGATTAATCAATTGTGCTCGTTTTACCCTTTCAAGCTGTTTTTAAGCTTTCGAGAGGGTTATGATGATTCCCATGTTAGTATTAAGTTATGGGTGAGTCCTTGATGGTGTTTTTGGACTCTAGGCTTCTTAGATGGCTTTAAATTGAACTCAGCTTTTGCAATTGTGTGGCTATAATCAGTTTCAACATAGTTTATAAAGTCTGATGGCTAGGAATCTCCGTGAATTTTGCCGCTAAAGAAACCATATGAGTTGTATTTTGTTGTGATTTAGACACCATTCCGAGCCAGGAAATAAATGGGCGTGATATTATTTTTTTAATGAACAGGGACATTTAATGGGAAAATTGAATTTTCAATGTCATTACGAACTAGAAAATTCTACAAATTCGAAATTGGTGATACCTAATGCTATAGGTTCTCGTTATTTACGAGGAACGGGGGCAAATATATCTTCATTGACATGACGGGCAAATGCACTCAAATATTATATGTACTGAGTGAGGCATTCAAAACCATCAGCATATCGTGCAATGCTACACATGAAAACTTCGATGGGGCGAACATCTTCAGCATCCAGATTGACTCTCCCCTTACCAGTGGTGAAGTTGGGAAGGCCGTGGTGGCGACGCTATACCTCTTCCGCGGCAGCATTGTCCAAATCAACCTTGTTTCTTGGAATGAGAAATGGGACGTATTCAAGTTCTTCATCCGAGAGGATAGCATGGAGCTTCTTCATGGACTCTGTAAACCTTTCCCTGTTGAAAGCGTCAACAAAGCTAGCCGAATACAATGCCCACCTACACTATGAATACGTGGCACATTTTGAACATGAAAGCTGTGTTTGTTGAATCCAAGGAAAAAATGTTGGAGTTTAGATGAAGAAATAGAATTTTGTACCAAAATAGATAGATAGATAAATAAATAAATAAATAAAAGCATTCACCTATGAAAGAAAAGCTGCTCAATCAACACAACAACTTGATTACCAGTAAAATCTATCATCTCGGTGTTAGATATAATAGGATCTGTTTTGCCCTTGCGTGACCAAGAATCAATCACAACGAAAAGATCAAACTTTTCCGTCAGCGTCAGATGGTCAACTCTCCTAAAGATGACTAGATTCTGACTATAACAACGGCTCGTATACTCTTTCATAGACTCCCTCTCCCCTTCGAACTGCTCTAACTAAGTGCTAAATATAAAATCAGCATTCGCTTCGCCAAAAGATTTTATTGTTGCTCTAGAATTGAAAGACCACAAGCAACATCCATCGAATTTTATCATCATTATCACCTCCCCTTGGAGGTGACTAGTTGTTCGTGGCAGAGGTTCTATATGTCCAGGCCTGTTAAAACTGAAAACCCAAGTATCAACGGAATTTATGAACCCATAAACAGAAGGAAAAAGTCAAATGATATTTCCTTTTTCTTTTTTATTCTTTCATAGTTAAATAAAATATTCACATTAACATAACAACTAATAATTGGCTTGTGCTAACAGGAAAAGGTATACTTTAAATAGTTATATTCTAAGTTTGTTTCTATATATTACTAATTTGAGTTTCACAAAACTCAAGATCATTAAAAACTTATATAGTTATTAACTTTAAAATTTTTAGGATTACTGTGAGATTACCACCACCTAAAAATTACTTTTATAAGAATAAAACTTAAAGGAATTGACAAGGACCTACAAGCAATGAAGCATGTGGTTTAATTCAATGCAAAGCAAAGAACCTTACCAGGGCTTGACATGCAAATCCTCTTAAAAGAGAGGGGTGCCTTCTAGAACACGAACATAGGTGGTGCATGGTTGTCGTCAGGACGTGTCGTAAGGTGTTGGTTTAAGTCCCACAACTAGTGCAATCCTCATGTTTAATTGTCACTGTTGAGTTTGGAACCCTGAATAAACTGCTAGTGATAAGCTGGAGGAAGGTAAGGATAACGTCAAGTCATCATGCCCCTTATGTCCTGGGCGGCACACGTGCTACAATGACTAAGCCAAAAGGTCGTGATCCAGCGAGGGTGAGCGAATTTCAAAAATCCGTCCTCAACTGGTCCAGATATCCACTTTAATAAAAAAATAAAAAATAAAAAAATAACAATTGGCTTAGGCTGGTTTAACTATCCATATAAACAGTGAACCAGATTAATTTCTTATTTTAATCCCTTGTTAAACATGAATTTTCCGTATCTTGCTTAGTTAACATGGGGTATTGGTTTTTCCATGTTGCGAGTTAAAGCTGTTAATATTTTTTAATTTTATTATTTAATGTTAGTTTTAAATTTAATTATATTGATTTAATTATTTTAGTATTATTATTTTTATTATATAATAAAATAAAATAAAATAATTAATTCATTTTAGTAAATTACATAATACGAGACACACATTTACCAAGTTAATTAGAATAAACATGACTTGTTTTTTTTTAACTAACTCAGTTGACAAGATTATATCATGATAACTTTTATATAATTTAATTTAAAAAATAAATTAAACAAATAGTCAAATTAAAATTTTTCAAGTTTGAAATTTTACAATGAGTTTAATAATAATATAAAAAAATTCAACAAGATATTATTTTTTTATATTCCAAAGAATTAGCTAATGAGCTAGCGAAGGAAAGGAAAACTACAAGAAAAAGGGGTTCAATTGCTCTCCTTACAAGAGGTGGGGATGTATCAGTTAATGTTTGTAACTGTGATGCAATTGCTCTCCTCAACATGTTCTGAGTTAATGTTTGTAAATGTATTTTTTTATCTGAAAATATATTAAAATAACATATATTTTTAATATTAATATATCAAAAAAATAAAAAATATTAATTTAAAGTTTTTTTAAAATAATTTTTTTTCGAAATATGACCGGCACTCTCAAACAGTGACTAGGTACTAAATTTGAATCCCAGCAGAAAATTCATCGATTTTCCAAATCTATTTAATATTTGGTGTGGACTACAGTATTTAAACTCGAATCCATCCAGGTACAGTGTAGTTGACAATATAGAAATTGAAAAAAAAATCAAATTCCATTCAGAAAACAAAATTCCAAATTTGCATCGGAATTGATCAACTTTAGCTGTCAATTCAGCTTAACAAAATAATTTATAATTAGCTGCAGTGGTATTTTCAATCTATAAAATTATAAAATTATTCAATATAATTAATTTTAGACAACAGACTTGACTTCCTTCAGGCTAGGGGTAGCATGATGCACGATGTTTATGAGATTCAGACCGTTGATTCATTTTGACCTCGAAATCATTGATTTAGATTTCTTTATAACAAAAGTAAATAACTGCCAGTTTTTTATAAAAAAAAATTACAACCACCCACTAACAAAACTTGCATGAATAAAATCTTAACTATTAAAATGCAGCATGAAAGTTTTGAATTTTAATATCATTACAAGTCATATTGCCCGTTTGTGGAGAGCATAAGTAATTTTTATTTTTATATATTTTTAAAAAGTATATTTGTTTTAAAAAATATTAAATTACTATTTTTTTTTAATGTGGTAATGATGTGGAAAAAAAATCTAATATAAATTATTTTAATATATTTAAAAAAAAAGCCACTCTCGAAGAATATCTTGCATCATGATTCCTGCCATGAATTTACTATTTACTGTTTTAAAAAAATCATTGAATTTGAGTTATGGCTATGGAAGTCTCTGTCTTTAACTTATTTTGAATCCGCCTAACAATGACTCGGTCAAAAATCTTCACCAGCTACATCATCTCGTTTGTTGTATAAAATGACTAGTCAGTTGATTCGATGGAATGACAGCAACAACTCCTTTCTTTCCCAACAAAGTTACAAGGTCGTGGTTGGTGGCCTGGCTGCAGATCGAAGAAAAATCTAGCTAATGCACTCCCAACCATCAGTTTCCTTTCCCCTTTCTTTTATTCTGTTTCTTAGATCAAAGCTCAAGCCAGCCGATGAGCTCGTGTCAGGAATAAAAGTACTACGAGTCTACAGTCGTATCTCAGTGCCATCCGTGACGATAAGATGACAAGTGTATCTCGGTGCCATCCGTGACGATAAGATGACAAGTGGCAAGCCTACAAATGGATCCCTCATTCCGGTGTCGGTGAGATGGCTCGATCAAGTTTTGCGCTCGAATGCTATAAATTCATTGAATGAAGCACCGAGAAACTCTGCTACGAAAGTCTACGATGAGAACACATTGTGTCTAAATGGGGAACAGAGTTTCTGTACAAATCAATCTATGTTTCAAGAAGACATGTGAGAGCACAGACGGAACATATGATAGGATAACCCAAAACAAGCCAAAAAAGAAGCCCGGACTGCTCATTCCAAGACGGACAATAGTGAGGATTCAACAATGACAATTACCCCACTAATCCACAGAAAGTAACAATCTGTCACAAAGATAGGTGCAATATTGTTCGATAAGCTTCAATTTCACAATGGCTGAGTTACCAATCAAATGTTACTACAGCTGTCAATCCTTCGACAAATAAAACCACTACAGACAACAAAATTCCATATTCGATGTACTTGTAGTAAGATGGTGCAAAAAATGATGGAAAAACTCCAAATGAGTACAAGGCCAGATGTTACTCCCGATTCTACTTGATGTATTGAGACATCCACTTGAAGCCATCACCATATCCCATCTTGCGGACAATACTGCACATGAAAACCTCGAGAGGACGGACATTGGAGTCTACCAGATTCACCTTCCCCTTGCCAGTAGTGAAATTGTTGAGCCCGAGATGATAACGAAGCTCATCTTCTGAAGCTGCATAGGGAATGTCGATCTTGTTGCCTAAGATCAGAAATGGAACATTTGCCAAGGATTCATCTGAAAGGAGGGCATCCAGTTCCTTCTTTGACTCAGCAAACCTCTCCTTGTCATTGGCATCCACTAGGTATACCACCGCATCCACCTGTTATGGAGGGAAGAAGACAACTATGGTTTATACTCCAAGATCTCATATTATTTAGACGTTCCAAACATTGTCCTTGAAAGAAGCATTGATTCTTCACAATAATTGAGACAGAACAGAGAATATCTACTTGTACTGGAAATTTAGCCACTTGGAGAAACAGCAGAATCATTGGGTGGAGGAAATAACTTGGGACTTGAATTCAATTAAAACATAGTTAATCCATACCATTTCCAACCAATGAGCTCAACACCATGTTCATTATTCAGTTATAACATCTAAGTGAAAGACTCTCCTAGGTCAACTTCATAAAGCACTCCCATAAAGCCCAGAATAATTTTTTGAAAAGCTACTATTGGAACACCTAAAAACAAAGAGGTGCTATCAGCGAAGCTTCAAATATTGATGTTGGCCTCCCATGAATCAGATAAACACAAGCAAAGTTTAGCTGGGATTATGAAGGCACAAAAAGACAAGTGAAAAGGGAAATCAGATATCTTTTCACCTAGAGAAGTCAACCAGCTGAAAACAAAGTTGCAAAAACCAGTTTGACAAAAGGTGCGAAGATGGTTTTAATATGTAACTCTGCAAGGCAAAGCATACATAGATGTCATCACAGCTAACAATAAAACGACCAAACACGTTAGCAATTTCAACAGTTCAGCTCACAACCAGATCTATCACAAACCAATGACATGCAGGACTGGAAAAGACAGCAACTAGAAAATACATTTGCCTCATTCCAGATTCATGTGACATAACAACGCAACGCACGACTAGAGGAAGCAAAACGGCAGATCTAATCACATCTTCCTGGCAAGAAAATCGAGAGATTATAGTCAAAGCACCCTAAATCACACCATTGTAAAACCGAAGTAGTTGTGTCATTCGACAGTTACAAGTCATCAACAGCATGAAATGAACAACATGCAAAAGTAACAAATTCGAAGTACCCTCCAATCAACAATCACCATTTTTCTCCATCCATTTGACAAACACAAACTTTATTCTTACGTATTAGATATAAAAAACTATAAAAAATCGAAGGCCCAGAATGCGATTCAACAAGAAAAATCAAGAAAACACATAATCATAAACAAATCAAGGCAAGAACAATAACATCGAATCTAGAGGAACAAAAGTTAACCTTGGCGTAGTAATCCTTCCAAACACGACGGGCAATTTGGTGACCGCCCAGATCAAAAGCCTTGAACTTGATTTTTCCAATACTCAATTCCTCTGATGTTGGATGCTGGGTGGGTTGATGCTGTACCAATCTCTATAAAACAACAGATCCCATGTTCAACAAACCAAACCAGAACAATCATATACCAATAAATAAATATGCAAACTTTATATCAAGAAAGAAAGAAACCAAGACCTCGTCTTTTAACATGTGGAGAAGGGTTGTCTTGCCAGCATTATCAAGACCCAAGAAAAGAATCTTGGCTTCCTTTTGCCATAAACCAAGAGATGCAAGAACCCCATAAAACCAATCTAAAAGAAACATCTTTCTTTCTTGATTCTTGATGGGTTCTTCAGATTTTTGGTGAGCCAAAGAGGACCAGTAATAAATAATAATAATAACTGGTGTACTCGGAAGAGGGATCTAATAAATAAATAAATGGTTGGATATCTATGGCTAGGGGCCAGAATGAATGGGGTGTTGAAAAAACAATAACTGGGACTTAGTGATGACACGAAGATGAAAAATTATTATTTATTCAAAAACCACCCCTCTGTCCATTCCTTTGTCGTTTTCTATTTTTCTATCAGCCTAATGGCTTCCTCACTCGGCGTTACACTCGCCATGGCTGGCTAGCTGGCTACCCTTGGCTTGGCTCGACCCAAGGGTTCGGTGAGGTAATGAAATGACGAGTTTTAACCTCGTCGGGTCGGATTGTGAACGGGTTCGCTTCTCGCATTGGCCCTTTTACTGGAAATAAAATATAATCCAGATTGGTCTAAAACTTGAGAATGATAGTCAAAACCTTTATAGAAAAAACAATGCCAGCAAAGGTGTATGATTGGTATCTAAAGTTCTATTTGTTCGTTGATTTGTAGCTGAAGAGTGTTCGCTTGATGTCTTTGTTCCTTTTTCGCTTTGCTTGGAGTGCTGATTAGACCTTCATTACACATATAAAGATGGGTGTTGTCCTAGATTTTATAGATATAATTTGAAAAAAAAAATATTTTATAAAAATATTTTTAAATAAAATTAATTTAATATTTATATATATTTAGTTAAAATTATGATCGATATATTTAGTTAATAATGTTTTTAAAATTATATGATTGATGTATTTAGTTAATAATGTTTTTAAAATTATAGTTATATATATATATATAAAATATTAAAATTAAAAATCATATATATATATATGGTCTTTAATTTAAATATTATAAATTTAATTATTGATATTACATCATAAAATAAATAATATTTTATATAAAATAATTTTTATTTTTTTATTAAACTATCTGTAATTCTATCACGTATAAAATATATCTGATAAAAACTATAGTTTTCTTGATTTTCTAAGCGTGCAATAACATTAGATAAAACATCATCAGGAACAAAATTAAAATTGTAATCAAATTCTATAAATGTTACGCCATCAAACAATCTTCATCTAATTTATGTAGTGTTATTGAATAATGTTAAATATTGATTTTTTGAATAAAACACAATAAAAAAAAATTAATTTTTTTACTAGGTCATATTCTATTCAATGCATTTCGCTTTGATTGAACTCGACTCGACTCTATATATATGTATGGAGAAGAAGAAAATTAGCGAAGAGCTTCTTTTTGTCACCTTGCATTTCAAACGCAACTAGTAAGTGAGTTCATGAACAATAAATGATGCTTTGTGTATTATCAAACATTTATTTCATGTGATTTGCTTTAAAAGTAGAAGTAACCACGGAAACAAACAGAAACTAAAAAAATATCTATCAAGACTGGATATCGAGTAACCTGCGGGTAGCTTTGATTCCCACCATGCTTTTTGGCATGAAGGGTGGGAAATATGATCCCTTTGATTGTTGGTAAATTTTTTATAACTTTGATCACCCACTGGTACATATACATCTCAAGTATTTTTTTTTAACTGTGAGTGTTTAAATTACTTTATATATATCTTAATTAATTTATCATGATTTTAAAGTTAATGATCATGCAAACCTTCAAGAACTATAAAATTTACAATATTCAAATTAATAATTTTTTTAAAAAAAATTAAGATTTAACTATATTTATTAATTCATGTACATTCTTTTGTGTATACTGGAGCATCTACTCGCACTCAGTTTGTTTTTTTTTTTTAAGCACAGAGCACCAACATTTCCATGACAATACACTAGATACCATCACAAACTAATAGTAAATATCAATGTTTTTCATTAATGGTATTTACTTTTCTTTACTCATCATCCCTCTCTATCTTTATTTTATGCGCCGTAAGATATTTGAAACTCCATTTTATATATTTACGAGATAAATTAACGTGTTCTAATGTCTATAAATAGCTATGATTTGGCACACCGTAAGCAAACGATCTTCGTCTAATTTATGTAGTGTTATTGAGTAATGTTAAATATTGATTTTTTGAACAAAACACAATAAAAAATAAAATTTAATTTTTTTACTAGGTCATACCCTATTCAATGCATTTTGCTTTGATTGAACTCGACTCGACTAGAACAATGAAGAGTGATACACTCTCTATATATATGTATGGAGAAAAAGAAAATTAGCGAAGAGCTTCTTTTTGTCACCTTGCATTTCAAACGCAACTAGTAAGTGAGTTCATGAACAATAAATGATGCTTTGTGTATTATCAAACATTTATTTCATGTGATTTGCTTTAAAAGTAGAAGTAACCACGGAAACAAACAGAAACTAAAAAAATATCTATCAAGACTGGATATCGAGTAACCTGCGGGTAGCTTTGATTCCCACCATGCTTTTTGGCATGAAGGGTGGGAAATATGATCCCTTTGATTGTTGGTAAATTTTTTATAACTTTGATCACCCACTGGTACATATACATCTCAAGTATTTTTTTTTAACTGTGAGTGTTTAAATTACTTTATATATATCTTAATTAATTTATCATGATTTTAAAGTTAATGATCATGCAAACCTTCAAGAACTATAAAATTTACAATATTCAAATTAATAATTTTTTTAAAAAAAATTAAGATTTAACTATATTTATTAATTCATGTACATTTTTTTGTGTACACTTGAGCATCTACCCGCACTCAATTTGTTTTTTTTTTTAAGCACAAAGCACCAACATTTCCATGACAATACACTAAATACCATCACAAACTAATAGTAGATATCAATGTTTTTCATTAATGGTATTTACTTTTCTTTACTCATCATCCCTCTTTATCTTTATTTTATGCGCCGTAAGATATTTGAAACTCCATTAGCTATGATTTGGCACACCGTAAGCAAAATATTAATCACCTCACTCAACCATTCAAGAATAACTTGTTCATGTATACGAGGTTCTAGCCTAGTGGTGGGAGGAGCTTGTCCCCTTCCTCCGCATCTGAGTTCGAGTCTTACCGCGCACGCCTGTCACCCCTGCGATGCCTTACCTGCTCTCTGGGCTTGCAGGATGTTCAATGGGCCGTGAAGATTCGTCGTGGTGCACGTGAGCTGACCCGGACATCCCACGTAAATAAATAAATAAAAATAACTTGTTCATTCCATATATATTTCTCATGCTCCTCGTATTATTTATTTTTCTTACATACTATTTACTCAAACGTCTAAGCATCTTATATTTTGATATAGAACTCGTTTCCACGTAAACAACAGAGCTTATTCATTTCAGGACATAACTACAAAAATTTCACGGCTTCAGCAACTGTAAAACACAGCTACCACATTATGTTTGATTTCCGAAACACATAAATTAATACTGAATTAATAACTACTTCTGGTATAATGTACCTGGCACGTTGCCTACGAGGAATATCTATCGACTTTGAATTATAATATAAATGTTGTTTTTTTATTGATGATATATTGCGAAAATAATTGAAGTCAAATACATTCAACAAAATCAATTTTTTTTCCCAACAAAGAAAACAGCAGGAGTTGAAATAGATAATTTAAAGTTTAGATTTCAATTAAAAAATTCACTCAATTTATTTATTATTTTTTCTTCGAGTTAAATATTATTTTAACTCAAGGTAGCGACACTCTTGTTGTTTTATTTAAGCTGTGTTCTAGCTTTAAATTTAAAGAAGAGTTTAAATATACTGGTTAGAAATAATTGTTACTGTTGAGAAATGGAGGAAGTGTTTTATTTGAATAAAAAACTATAATTTCTAATTTTTCCATTCTAACTCATATTACCGTGTTTCCTCTACGAAAGTGTTTCAAGTTAGTTCCCGGGCGCATAAATGTCCTTATAAACAATAAATTTTGAACTATAACAGTGTAAGAAATTACTTATGCTTATATATATTTGTAAAAACAAAACAACAACGTAAGTAAATAAACTTGTAAAAGTTGCGGCAGGCACAAAACCAAACATCAAATGAGGCGTTTGTGTCGTCAGTGAGAAGCTGCATGGGCCAAGTGCTCGAAGCCCACTGAAAACCCTGCATTTGAGTTTTACAACAAAGCCCCGTAAGTGGGGCCGTCTTAGGGCAGTTTTTTTTGTGACAATCGATTTGTATAAAGTGACCAGAGAATTAGGGTTTGGCCTTGCCACTTATCATCTCGCCTGCATCCACTATTCGCTATCAGGTCTGCGATTTCATTTCACCATCAACACCCTCTTCTTGTTAAAAAAGCAGATCAAGTTGTCTCTGTGTGATCATTGACTGTTTCGTTTTCGTGTTGCAGAGATGGCCAAGTCAAAGAATCACACAGCACACAACCAGTCCCACAAAGCTCACAAGAATGGCATCAAGAAACCCAAGAGGCATCGCCACACCTCCACAAAAGGGGTACTTTTCCTTTCTTGTGATTCTGTACGTTTTTTCTCGCTCTGTAGTATTGTTCTTGAAATGGGTCTCTTGTGTGTGTAGATGGACCCAAAGTTTTTGAGGAACCAGAGATATGCAAGGAAGCATAACAAGAAGTGTGGTGACTCGGCCACCGAGGAAGAGTAGAAACATTGCTTTCTAAATGGGCACTACTATACCTTTATAGTGTAGTGTCTCCATGTTACTTGTTCTGGGTTTTATTTTCCAGTAGTTGGCTGTACTGTCAAACTAGAAATTTCGATTTTGGATCTTAGCTACTGATGTTTGTTTAAGATTCTTAAAGCCTTGGATTCTTATTCGATGAGTATGTTTTTGTTTCAACATCGTCGCTTTTTTACTGCTTATTTGGTACGGAGTAGTAAGATCTTTTATCCATTTCTTTTAGATTTAGGTGATAGATCAATTTATTGACATTGCTGTGAGTTGTGTTATTGTGTTGCCAAGTTGCATGTTTTATTGGTCAAGCGACGGCATAACTGTAGGCGCTTGCATACAGCAGTGCCTCGTTAAATTTACTTGATAACAATTCTCGTAGACTAGCTGGTAGTATGGCTCTCCCATTCAGTAGTTACCAGCTTACTAGTATGGTTTTCCTATTCAGGAGCAATGCAGTTTCTGGTTTTTAGGAGTTCGGTTTATTACAGTCAGATGCTTCACCTTTGATGTCAGTTGTCAGTAGCTTATTTAGTTTGGAAATTATTTATTCTGGATCAAGCTATAGAAACTTAAGTGGTAGTTTGATGATGGTTTTTGCCTTTCGTGTCATAGAGATCTTCACTGTCTTTTAATCCCAATTTAGGTAAAGCTGTTTTTTGTCATGATGGTGGCCAATTAGCCAGTCACATATTAGCCTTATGGCTGTTGCTTTATGTGAATGGTCAGTAAGCTCACCGAAATTAACTATGGTAGTGGCATTTGATAGTGAACTGAAATTGTGGTTTCACGTTAATGTCTCAGACTACATATCATCAATGATAAAAAAAAAATTCAGAGTTTTGCCTGAACCGAATTTGTCATGAAACTACTGCATTTCTTAAAATTCAGAGTTTTGCCTGAACTGAATTTGTCATGAAACTACTGCATTTCTTCATGCTTATTAAGAGGGGTGAAAAAGGAATTGTGCATTATGTTTCCTTTTGATCTGCTGTGCCTGTATCTGATGAAAACGATTCTGTAGTTGAGTTTCTTTAACGTTTGTGCGCTCTTTTATTTTTATTATTATCATAACAGATATTGCAATGCTGTAGATTATAAGATGATATAAACTTGAAAACGAAATGATGCTTTTTTCCTGGTATGTTCAGGATATAACTTGTGACGCAATTGCCTTGAGCGTGCAATGCCTAAGATTTCTCAGACTCGTATTTTAGCCACGAAATATGATTGATGTATTTTACGTTTAATAATAATAAATGCACTGGTTTGCAACCCAGGAAAAAAAAAAAGTCACCCGCTCCTCGGTTTCTTTAGATCAGTGGAAATGGTGTGGCCTCTTGGCTCAAAGGCAGAAGGGGCTTGGAGATGCTAGTGGCGAGAAATATTCGAGCTACCGTGAATAGAAATAAGCACTAGCTGATTCTAGCACCAAATCAGAGGAATTGAGTAGCTACAGCTGTGCTCACATGAAGTTTGGTTTTCATGGATGATTTTGTTGTGGATCTCAATTATATGTGGAGGGAGTTGTTTCCGGGGCATACCTGAAACAGTTGTGTGACATACAGCGATGATTTAGCAGTAGCAACTGGGTTTGGGCATAGACTGACCTTTCTTAAGAGAAATGTTACACGTGTCAATATATATATCAAGGCGTGTTTGCCGTTGCTCTAAGCAAGCCAGTGCCCGAACCTGATGGTTGGTTTGTTAGGGGAAGGCGAGTTGAATGTGCAGGTATGGAAGTGCTGTGGGGTTCTCTCATCCTGCACATAGATGGAAGAACCCGGAAAAAAAGTCTGCTATCTAAATACTTGATGGTCCCGTTCCCTCGTAAAAGCAAGTTAATAACATCGTTGAGAGATCTTGTAATCTGGCTGCCACGTGCAGAGAGCAAGGGTAAAGTAAAAAAAACAACAAAACCTCAGGGATTCTTGCAAGCTGAGAGTTTCAATGGAGTAGATTATAGTCTCTGTTCAACTGATTAGAATCAAAACCATTTTCAGAATGGAAATAATAAAACAACAAAACCTCAAGGATTCTTGCAAGCTGAGAGCTTCAATGGAGTAGATTATAGTTTCTGTTCAACTGATTACTATCAAAACCATTTTCAGAATGGAAATAATATATGAACCTGAGAGACAATAAACCAACAGCGCAACTTCTGAAAGATTTCAGGCTGTAACAGGTGATCTCTTGATGATATTTCTTGTGGCAGTGTACCAAAATACGTGGATTTATCTCTAGCCTGGGTATGCATGCTCCTTCATACCTCCTAATACAAGCAAATTTTCTTCGAAATTTTGCCTGCATGCTCAAACAGCAACTGGTTCACTTACTGGGCCTGGAACATGAGCTTTAACCTGCCCCATAAATTAAGAACTTCTGTCACGAGGTTGAAGGTGGATGGTGCTCTCCTCAGCTTAACAAATACATGCAACCACCAATCGTGGGTGAACATGTATCAGGATTAGACAGCTGTTTGCTGAAAAAGTTGATATGCTAACAACACGCAATAAATTGCAAAGAAATTGTAGTGGGGACTTTTTCTCACGGGACATCTATCCACCACCTATTTGTCAGTACACACGCAATGTCTCTTCAGTAACATTTAAAGTTCAAAGATGAGTTCATATGAAATAAGAGCATAACCCCGGATGTTATCTCAACTTTGTAATCATGAAGGCGCATGTGATTTGTTCTTCTGGAATTGTTTTACCATATAGCACAAAAAACTCAAACAAATGAGATGATCATGCCCGTGCTCTGTGCGCGCGTGTAGGTGGGTATCCTTTCTTTTATGGCATGCAAGATGTTAAAAGTATGTGTTCATTCAGAAGCTCACCTTTGCTGATTTGAAAAGTTCATCGAGAACTTCGGACAGAGTTGGGTGTGCATGGACTGCAAATTTTATGTCCTGCATTGTGCAAACGTAAGTATAATTAGTTCCCAGATGTTATAAGCTTACACTTGTTAGAGTGCACGCATGTACAAAACTGAGATCTGAAGAAGCATTTTCAAGACCAACAGAATAGAGACGTGAGTTATTAGTTGCAGCCTGGTTATAAACTTCCAACATCTCATTAAGTAGTTCATTCTAAAGGGCATTTCACACCATAAATAAAGATGCAGCCGCATACCTGAATACGAGTGCCCAAAGCTATAGCATTGGATGCTTCATGGATGAGATCTGCAGCATGCAACCCAAAAATATGCACGCCAAGTATCTCTCCATTGTCAGGTCTGTATATCAACTGCAAGAAAGTAAAGGAGTACCAACCATGGAAGTTAGTGAGAGAAGATTAATCAACAGAGTCAAATAGAACTGAAAGGTTTGCATGTAAACATGAGAAAAATACAGAAATGATGTATAAAGGCAAATTTATTGGATTCAGAACATCAGCAGGCTCCAAATTTCATGATGCTCATCACCTATGCAAGAGATTGTATTAGATCCAACAGGCATAACAAACTAGTCAATAGTTCAGGCACGACCAGAGTAGCTTTGGAAAGAATCCCTAGCTATACACCGAGAGGGGATGACATCAAGATTGATCATTCAAATTATGCTTGCACAGCGCGATGAGGAAGGAGAACAGTTATGAAATCTAACCTTAGCTATCCCTTCTCCTTCATTTTCTGCCAAGGCCTTTGTGTTGGCTTTGAAACTCGTCTTGGTGACACTTACTTCAAAACCCTCCTTTTCAGCTTTCTCCCTTGCCTGAGGCTGAAAATTATAGTATTCGGTCAAAATTTCATGTGTAAAGGTAACACAAAATAAGAAATTTTGTTTGCAACCAGAAAGGAAAGAAACACAAAAAAAGATGCAAGGAATGCAATTTGTTTGTATAGAAGTAGAATTCAGCTAACTTTATCATAAATCATGAAGTAACTAGAGCATAATAGCATATTTATAGAACTAAATGCACCTGCAAGATTTTAAAATTTACCTCTGTCAATCCAACCATACTGATTTCAGGATGAGTGAAACAAGCTGCCGGAATGCTTAGATGATTCAGCACGTGATCCCTTCCAGTGATTTGTTCAACCACTGTGTCAAGAATTCGAGCAAAAGATTAAACACTGTAAAAGGAAGCATCAGATTTGAGGTGACAAAAAGCTGATCCGCTTGCAACTAACCTGAAATTCCTTGTGCACTAGCTGCATGAGCAAGCATCATTTTACCATTAGAATCACCAATGCAATACAAATGAGGAACCTAAAGAGTTGAAATTATTAAAAAAGATGTTAGTAATTATTTGCAACAGCCATACATTAAACTGTGTTCATGAGAAAATAATTTGAACTAACCGGATTCCCCTCAAAATTAAGCACTTGCATACGCTCATCAACAGGAACAAAACCATTTTTCAATGCTACCTGGACCTGTGGGAAAGAGAGAGAAAGATTAAAATCATTTCTTCTTCCTGGTGACAAATCTATTTAATAAAAGCAACATTAACATCAAAGGATACGTACATTGTCCAAGCCAAGACCTTTTGTGAAAGGAGCTCTTCCAGTTGCAATTAATGCTGCATCTACCTATAGTGAAAGCAAGATCAGAGTTCTGATAGATGCCGTGGGATGGGATTTTAAATCATACTGAAGATTAATGTTTAAATTAGGGAAGCCCATGCAAGTGATGGTGCCTGAGCTGCAGGAGGTGACAGAAAATTATTAACATGAAGGCCAAATTTTATATCAAATCACAGTTCAGGCTCAAACATAACAGAGTTTCATCTGTAAATTAGCCACCTTATGTTCAACAGATATACGGCAATACAAAAATGATGCTCATTGACTAAACTCATTCAATAAGTTCATGATGTAGCTCAAGTATTTCATGGAGGCATATGACTGAAGTTAAAAAACAAAAAAAATACCCGAAGAGTTCTACAATTTTGATGTGGAGGTCTTTTCTCCTCAAAGAGCATATAGACTGATAGATTTTTTAGCAATCCACTTTGCTCTGCATCACAAAATAAGGATGGATGCTAGCATCCAACATCCTGACTTCATTTACAGTTTGTTTGGGAAACAAGTGAATGGAGGGAAAGAGAAGGGAGGAGAGGGTAATGAAGGTTAATGGCATCTTCACCTTATTTGGGGAGAGAATTTTCAATGGAGGGGAAGGGGGGACATTCCCCTCCAAAGTATCACACCCATCTTTGAG